TCCGGTCTCCAACTTTGACACACGAACAACGCCGGAGTCTACCACAATCTTTATGCTAGTAAAGATTATATTAGTATAAAATATAAAGATTAAAATTGGGATAATAATAATCTTGTATATTTCTATAGAAAATATTTCTAATAATATTTAGAAAATATTATAGATATTTTCTATACACAAAATGATATTAATGGAACACAAAATTTTTTTTTCTCTCACTAGAAATTTATGGCCGAAAACCACACTTACCTATTCAAAGATGATGATCTTCTCATATATCAATTTTTTTTAAAGTGCCGTGCAATCAATGCAAAGAAGAAAAAAAAATCCAAAGTGATTAATCAAACTTTGTCATTAAGCTAAAGGTTAAAATTAATAAACTATTAATCAAAGATTGATTTTAATCTTTTGAATCCTTATGGCCGAAAGTTTGATTGTGAGAAGTATTTTCAAAATTCTTCTCCAATCAAATGTTCAAAGCGTATTTTATTTGACACTAAAAATTAATATAAAATTAATTTTAAATCAAATAAAAATACCAATATCATTTTTAAACAAGTATACAAATATACTTTAAATAGTTTATGTCAAAATAATTATTTTCATAATTAAAATGACAAATCAAAATAAAATATTCAACATATAATATATATATATTAATCGGCACATATATATAATATATATAACCGAATATTTATATATATNAAAAATTAATATAAAATTAATTTTAAATCAAATAAAAATACCAATATCATTTTTAAACAAGTATACAAATATACTTTAAATAGTTTATGTCAAAATAATTATTTTCATAATTAAAATGACAAATCAAAATAAAATATTCAACATATAATATATATATATTAATCGGCACATATATATAATATATATAACCGAATATTTATATATATTATTATATTCCAAAATATTTTATTCTACTATTTTTTTACAAATATACAAATTACTTATTATCCCATTGTTTAATCCTACTCCTTAAATTGTCCAAAGTGTGTGACCCGTATATGCACTTATAAAGCTGGCCACAGTATTGGCTCTGCACCAATACTATAAGCAATAAGCGGTATCTAGCAACACATTATTGCCCCCAGATTATAAGTTAAGACGTTTGCACCGTCAAAACCTTTTCACGACTCAAACTCCGTGTAACTGTATCCCTTTGTCTCAATGTCTAAACTTAATGCAAGGGATTAATAAAATCCAGCTTGTATCCATTAAGTCATTCACTGATTTATCAAGTTTGACTAATAGGAACAGACATCATAAAAACATCTCAGCATGGCCATGCAATTTCCTCAATCATAATGGGCCCCATAAGACATTAATCTCTTTTAAAAAAAGTAGTGACAAATCCTATGTACGTAATCTACGTTTCTGAATACGCGCTGCGGCATACCCAAAAGAAAGCATGCATACCATCCTTATTTCATATGGCTTAGGACAATGCATCAAAGTATGCGGGTTCACATATGCAGAAAACATAATACTTCAAGTCGAAGGATAGTTACACCCGTGATCGCGCTAAAGATGCTTAGAGCATGAACTAAGAGTTCAAGCAACATCTTTAGGATGGGTCAGTCCGGCATCCTATTATCTCCAGATAATATCTGCCCATGTGCGGATGCGAATACGCTGTCATTGACTATGAGACTAAGTCAAACATCCAACACACACTAGTCTCACATGCATTAACGATATCCTACTCTCGTTAATACTCGACTATGGACATTTAGATAAATATTTATTTCAAGATGTTAGTCTCATCAGCAGAGAAACATTATCTGATAAACATCTTTAAATATAAATCTAGGAATATAATATTTGTTTACATTAGCATGAGATGTGTAAACATATTATATCTGCCTATACATGATAGGATAACGATGAACAATTTTCCATTAGGGCACAACTCCAACAAAAACAAACCCTATGGCATGCTTCTTACCCACATCTTTGCCAAGAGGGAAATTCTTGAGGTGCGCCCTTCTCGTGTCCGCTATCTTGACGCGGAGTGCCTTGTCTATTGTGGCCTTGTAAATATTGGAGAGGAGTACTACATGAAGAAGGAGTTTCAAAATCTTGATGAAGTGACACGAGCGGAGTATGGTCCTCGGCGTTCTATGTCATCTTTGCCTTCCACTTCACGCGCACCCCGGGCCGAAGCCGAAGAAAATGCCAACACGGAGGTCCCCGCTCATGTTCCTCGAGTCAAACGCTCAAAGTCAGCGTCTCATGCTTCCTCGGCCTCTCTCATGCATCGTCACTCTCACACGGCTTCCACTTCCAAAAATCAGTTTAAGAAGTTCATCCTCAAGACCGTGGTGGCTCCAATGAGGAAACTTCAAGAAAGCCTCGATGACCTCTCGGGTCAGATGAAGAAGATGGAGGACCGTGAGAATCACCAAAAGCAAAACGAGGATCGTGCTTCTAGACGCCGCTAAGTGTTGAGCATTTGACAATATTGATCAAACATTATGTATTTAGCCTAAGTTTTAAAACTCTTTGTCATGTTTATGTTTCAAACTCTTATTTATGCATTGGTATCAAACTCAAACTCCTTTGTTATGATTATGCTTATGATTTGCTTGCTTATTGTTTGATTATGCTTGATTTGCTAATTGTTGCCGTGATGAATGCCTATGTGTTGAAACTCATGTTTTTGGTACCCCGCCTTTTTGAATGTTGCCAAAAGGGGGAGAAATTTTAGGCTTTCATATGCATATATTTAGGGGGAGTTTTTGTCAAAATATCACGTGCATGAACTTAGGGGGAGTTTTAAAATCAATATATGCTTTTCACGATATGTTTGTGTGTTTGATTATTATATTTGAAAGCCTTATTGGTCAACATCAAAAAGGGGGAGATTGTTGGCCTTGAATGCGGTACCCCGTAACCGTTTTGATGTGCCAAATAAGTCTTCCAAATGCTACTAACATCATTTACAGGAAGAAACCAAACGCCAAACCTCTATTAGCTTGTTTAGCATCACCGAGATATACTCCTACGAGTTTAGAAATTATTGTGTAAAGGTAATGATATATTTTAATGATTTACTTATGCCCTTTCACTCAAAAATTAGTTTTAAAATGTCAAATATATTCTTAGTTGGGGTTATTTTGAAAACGGAATACGAAAAACGAGTTTTGGAAAATTTACACAGGCCTAACAGTACCTGGCTACAGTGTACACGGAACCATGGTACCGCCGGTAGCCAAGTGAACGTACCGTTGTACGCTTCACTTTAGAAGTCACGGTACCCCCCCTACCGCGTAACGGTACCAAGGTACCGGATGGTAGGCGGAGACGGTTGGCCACCCCCGTCCTAACCAGGTACCGCCAGAGGCGAACCAAAGTTTTGGCATACACGGTACCCCCAAACGGTAGGCTACACCGTGGGTCACGGTACCTAGGTACCGGACGGTACTGACCCTACCGTGAAGGGTACCGGATCCGTTGTAATCACTGTAGCAAATTGCGAATTTAAATTCAAATCACCCCTAATCACTTCCTAACGGATTTTAACGTTAAAAACTCAAATTTTAACATTCCAAACTCCTATATAAACCCCCTCTAAGCCTCATTTTATTTACAACAACTTCCCAATTAAATCTAAAGCCTACTTCTCTATTCTTGAGTGTTCCTAAAGCTTTGTTCTTATTTTTCTTACTCTTTTGAGTAAAAGCTTTCATTATTTTTACACTCACACACAAGGGCATTTGTGATTCATTATTTTATATCTTGCCTATAGGCTTTTGTTGTTGTTGATTTAATCTTTTGTTCTTCTCCTACCCAATTCATATTTGTTATTATTTTGGTAGAGAAGCAACACCAATCTTTTATTGATTTGTAAAAAGTGTGGATAGCCTTTAAATCCTCATTGTAGGGTTGAAGATAGCCTTAAGATCTTCAGTTGTAAATAGTTGAGATAGCCGTAGTAAAATCTCATTTTCTTATTGGCAAGAGTTGTTTGCCAAACCTCATTTGAGTCTTCTTAGTGAAGCCAAACAAGTTAGTGGTGGTTAAATCCCTGAGGAGGAGCCTCGAGGTACTGGAGTAGGGAGTTCCCGAACCAGTATAAAATCGCTTGTGTCGTATTTTTATCTTTTATACTTTTCTTGCTCTTTTTCCGCTACTACTTTGCGCATAAGTTTTTGTTTTTACTAAAAACTTGCAAACACCCTAATCACCCCCTCTTAGGGTGTAAACCGACTTTCAATTGGTATCAGAGCAGGAAGTTTGATCCTTTCACACTCATCTTTTACTTCTTTTCACTACACATGGATTTAATGAACTCCCAAAGCATTACCAAGCCACCATTCTTCAATGGTGATAACTATGGCTATTGGAAAATGCGAAAGGTTGTGAGATTCTCGGCCCAAGAGAATTTTAGGGGAATAAAAAACGATAAGAAAAATAACATTCATTAACTTGCTTTTGTCACCAGTTATTAACAGTTACAAAACTAACCCCGGCTTTGCAAGATTGATGCAGTTTTGATTCTCCATTGAACAGAATCCTAGTACATTAGTAATAGCTGATAATGTGGAAAGTGAGTAAAGAAATAAAGGATTGTGGCAGTATTGACCTTCTACTGAGTTTAGAAAGAAAAATAAAAAATATCAATGCAATTTTAAGAATTCACTGGGTTCCATAGAACCCATAAAAGCTAGGGAATAAAAAAGGAAGGAAAATATAGAGGAAAATCAGGAGGAGATAAATTCGAAGGAAAACAATAAATAGGTATGAATTTAGTAATTCAATTTCATACTCCGTATATTGTTTCAAGCTCATTTTACTATCTATTTATTTTTGATATATAGATACTAAAATATCTAAAGAAGTAAATCTTTAAGGAACTTTATCTATTATTTCCTCTGTCCCAAAAATATCGTCTCACTTCAAACGAAGTGCAAAATCTCATCTCTTTTAAAATAATTTTATTTATAAATTGGTATAGAAATTAAAAGTACAAATTACA